TATTCACAAACATTAATTCAATGTTCAAGTCATTGTTAAAAAAATCCTGAAACTGTATTATTTATGTAATGATATAAACTAGCAATAAATAAATATTCAGATTTTGCTTTATGGTCTTTTTTAGGGTTAAATTACGTTTTATGCAGACATATTTTGGGTCACCGTGAACAGCAATCTATTGAAAATATCAGCAAAAGTATAAAGGAAACGCCGTTATGACAGCTTCTTTACATGCATTTTGACCGTTCCCAGCACCCATACCGTAAGTACGCGATTAGACGCGCAGACAAAAATAAAGTGCGGCTGGCTTGGCTTGACCGCAGTCTAACACGGGATACACAGCAGTGCTGGGAAGGGTACACGCGAATCACCTCTTCAGTTTATCTAGAGCGGGATATTTGCCTTCAAGAGTGGATTAAAAGGGACATTTTAGTAAAGAACTGAGGCAAGTTGTGTTTTCATTCATTTAAAAGTTGCATTTTCTTACCGGATGAAAGTCTTTTGGGTTGCCAGTATGCGGTGAACTTCCATTCGCTGCATATTCATTCATTTAGTGAAATAATCCGAAAGAGACGCCGAGTGTAGTTATTTTAATCTGAATGGGAACTTCTGAACATTTTTTATTTTTAGTTATTGTTGCACAAAGGATGTGTGGGTCTAAAGTTAAACAAACAGCAGTTCGCGTGCGGCTGAAATGCATTAAGTAAACTGGATTTAACTTTTATTTAGAATGTAAACCGGCCAAATGAGCTCAAGAAGTAAAAGTAGCCTATCGGAAGAAGACAATGAAGCAAGAAAGGGACATGAGCCTCGATTAATAAAACGTTTCATGTTGGGTTCAATTGCCAAGCAACGTGCGCATTAACCGGAGACTTGAATGATCAGAAGTATAAAGAGCGCAACAGTGTTTGCATGGATGGTGAAGATGGCAACACACACACACACACAGACAGACAGACAGAGACAGACAGACAGACACACACACACCCACAAACACACAAACACACACAAAAAAAGTGTGTGTGTGTGTATATATTTGCATTGTGTATATACAACATTGTTTTGGGCTAGTTTGAGTTGACTGGGAATTATTAGTTGTTTATACAAAATACAAATATATTATTAAGGAACCAGAATCGTTAAGTGGAAATGGAATCGGAATTACAATCAATATTCAGAATTCTAGACTCTTTATCAATATATGAGGTTGAAACAGTTGAACGTTACTTGTGAAGGAACTTTGTTTTTGTTTTGCTTTGTTGTTGTGTTTTGTCTTTCTTTTTTCTGTTGTGTTATGTTTTGCACACACAGACAGACAGACAGACAGAGACAGACAGACAGACAGACACAGGGCGGTGAGCGTCTTAATGGTCTTAAAGTTAAGTGGCAAAGACAAAGAAGCCTGAAGCCTGCTGAGTTTGAGTTGGATCTAACAAAACCCAATGTCCTCACGCCACTTTTTTGCTCATTGTCCCCCACTTGTTGGTGTGTGTGCTAAAGCAAACATAACTCTTACTATTGCTCTATGATGTTGGGCTAAATTATTGTTCAACCCCTAAACCTATTAATCTTGGACACGTGACAGTCGTTCCTCTTAGTTTGGGATACTGACATGAGTGATACATGATACCTCAAATCATTGTTGGGAAAGGTGTCCTGTTACTTTTCTATGTGTTCAGATTTTATTGTTAATTTTTTTCTGGTGAATGCTAAAATTGGATAGAAAATCCCATAGACTTGCATGGAAGTGACTAGAATATCATAGGGACTTGTGGGTGGGCTGATCAGTAGGCAACCACTCAGAACACTTTCGAAGATGTATGGCAACATAACAGTTACTCAGAACATGTAGAAACCACAGCAAAAACTTGGCAACCACTTTTAAAAGTAATGCATTACAATATTGCGTTACCCCATTAAAAAGTAACTAATTGCGTTACTTAGTTACTTTTTTATGGAAAGAAATGCATTACATTACTTTTGCATTCACGTTACTTTTGCGTTACAACTGTAACGGCCCTTTTACACCAAAAGTGAAATTAATAAGCCTCATCCTTGAAGGAAGTGCCTCTCCACGAGGACAGAGTGAATAAATGGGAAAACAAAGCAACTTCGTTACTTATTTGAAAAAGTAACTCAGATATTTTCTTGAAAACTTAAAAGTAATGTGTTACTTCATTATTTACTTGGAAAAAAAGTAATCTGACTACGTAATGCGTGTTATTTGTAATGCTTTACCCCCAACATTGTTGGCAACTATGCAGAATACCCTAGCAACTGTACAGCAAGCAACATGCTAAAACGAAGCTAAACACCTTAGAAACTGCATAGCAATGCCCTGAACACTCAGAACATCATAGTGGCAGTGAGCAACAGGCAGTTGCATTTTCTTCAGAAAATATAATTATCCTGTTTTCTTTATGTTCTCCTCTTGTTAAACATTGGAGCTATGTTTCAAACCTTTGGACTTCAAATGCGTAATTGTTGTGATTATGTTCGCTTTCATCTAACATGATTTGTACTAGGACACTAAAAGCTTGATTTTATTGGTTTGTTTGATAAGTAGCCTATTACTGTGGAAACTTCCTTATTGGACCAATTGTTAGTGCTATTTTAAGGATGAATAAATGGGAAAACAAAGCAACTTCGTTACTTATTTGAAAAAGTAACTCAGATATTTTCTTGAAAACTTAAAAGTAATGTGTTACTTCATTATTTACTTGGAAAAAAAGTAATCGGACTACGTAATGCGTGTTATTTGTAATGCTTTACCCCCAACATTGTTGGCAATTATGCAGAATACCCTAGCAACTGTACAGCAAGCAACATGCTAAAACGAAGCTAAACACCTTAGAAACTGCATAGCAATGCCCTGAACACTCAGAACATCATAGTGGCAGTGAGCAACAGGCAGTTGCATTTTCTTCAGAAAATATAATTATCCTGTTTTCTTTATGTTCTCCTCTTGTTAAACATTGGAGCTATGTTTCAAACCTTTGGACTTCAAATGCGTAATTGTTGTGATTATGTTCGCTTTCATCTAACATGATTTGTACTAGGACACTAAAAGCTTGATTTTATTGGTTTGATTGATAAGTAGCCTATTACTGTGGAAACTTCCTTATTGGACCAATTGTTAGTGCTATTTTAAGGACTGATGGGATAGATGATCAAACGGAGGAAGTCATTTATTTTTCTTCACGTAAAGCACACAAAAAGTAAAAACATATTTGTTAGTGTAAAATTAAATGGTCTCCTGTCATGTTAGATCCTCATATTGCTGCCTGTGGAACGTACACTCTCAGTGAACCAAGTTTATGGTCTATGGAAACCAATCTCGCCCAACAGTCAGTGCCAGAAAACTGCTCCTATTGGGTTTGGTGTAATGTATTTAATCAGTGTAACTGGAAACCATGGACTTTATGTGCTGGCCGACTGTAGTCTTCTATAACTTTCTGTGTAATTCCCTTAACGTTGAGTAGTGAATGTTCCTAAGATGCAGCAGGTATTTCTCTAAATCAGATTTATCTGTTGTCATAAAACAAGGAGTTCACATAAAGTCTCGCTTTCTTTTCTCTAGCAGTAAACTTTGCAGAAATGACAAGTGCTGTATGTAATGCACTTTCTCGGCACCTTGCTCACCTCACTTGGAGCTTATGTATTAGTCCACCCACTGAACGCCAACGATTAAAGCACTCTTCTCTGGAAAGGTGCTTTGCAAACCACAATCAAAAGATGTGAGAGACTGAAGAGAATTGTTGACTTTTCGAGGGGGTTGGGTCTCATAGGCTTCACACAGTAGAGTCACTTTCTCTAAAGCAATGCCCCTTTTTATCGAGGTCTTTGTGTTTAGTTTTACAGATAGGGATGATGGACGTTTGGTTGTTGAGAACTCTTCACAGATGAGCACAAAGAACTAGCACAAAGTCCTTGTGCCCACTACAACTGGCCATGGTGTAAATAAAATTACAACATTGAACAATTCCCAAATTGAATTACTATTATGAGTCATTCTCCCTGCACTCTCAAAATTTTACAGTCAAATTCAAATATATGTGCTGATTGTAATTAAGGACCTTTAGTGAGTAGATTAATAGGCCACCATCTTTTTTCATTCAATTACATAATTTTCGACAATTCATGGGATGAGTAGTTAATTCCCTCTTAAAATAACTTGAGTACAAGTCATGTACGTTTTGTCATGTCTTATACACAATTTTCAGTTACTTAATGCTTTGAATCCTATGTTGTGATTCATGTCGGAGCTCATTGGTTCAGTTTATAACTCTTTATTGAATTTTTATTTTTTTGGCAATTTTGTTTGTTATATTGTAGGCAAAAAAAAAAACACTGAAAAGAATAGCGTGTCTAAATTTGTAGTATTTGTAAAACACTAGGCGAAAAGTATCCGGATAACCTACTGTTTCCACTGAGTGTTTGAAGTGCACATCCAGTGGACAACTTACTCTCCCTTGAGGCCATGGGTGAATGGCATTGAAGCGATGCAACTTACGCTGTAGGTCACATGACAATGTCGACATACTACACAAAAATGGATTAAGGGCGTCTTAGGGCAGTGGTTCTCAACTCTGTTTCTGGGGACCCAGTGACCCACTGCTCTGCACATTTTGCATGTGTCTCTTATCTGACACATTGGCTGAGTCCAAAAGATTATGCTGCTGACTTGTTGCCTTATCATGCAATGACTTTGCAGTAGGGCTGCGCGATTAATCGAATGCGATTGTCATGCGCATTTTGATAGTAATGCCGGTTCTGTAATCAGCAGGAAATCATCATCACGTGCTTTCAGATGGAGCAGAATTTACTACACATTTACACAGTATAAGGCACGCAACATATTTCATTGTATTTAAGCAGTGATAAAGGCATTGCATTATAAATATACTTTATTTTAATGAAAATTATAATAATAAGAACTCAGATAAACCGTATATTGCCGTAGTCGTGTGTTTATTAGTCACGTTGAATCAATGAAAGCAGTTGAATCTTCTGTTTATTCAGCTGCAGCGATAGACATTTTCTGGGTTTCTTATGCGAGGCGTATTTGGAGTTTCAGCGCGGGAGCATCCTCTGGCCTTTGGATGGAGATTTACTGCTGATCACAGAACCGTGCTTCACTGAAAGATACGCATGACAATCGCAGCTTCTGTCGATCGTGATCTCGAGTCCATTTCGATTTATCGTGCAGCCCTACTTTGCAGGTTGCGTTTGCGCACGAAGGCACTTCATGCAACTGATTTCGGAGATGCTTCTGAGGCAGCGTAACAGTTTAATGAGCTACGACAAAATAGAGCGAGCTTTGGTGATAACTAAGCAAATATTTAATTACTATAATACTGATTTCTTGCTAGAAGTAACCTCAAAGGTGGGAAAGTTGTTCAGTAACATACATTTAGACACAAACTGACCACCAAACGCAACTTT